ATGCCATAGGTTTTGGTGAACCATTGTCTGACTTTTAACATTTACATGAAACCGCTGAAAGAAGTCAACTGGGAATATACTCAAGTTATCCTCCTGAGATCTAGATAGGATGAAATATGCTAAAGTTGAACGCAAAGAAATGACATTGCTGTTTCTCATGGCCTAGTTAGCCTGAGTATCTTTCAAGACAGGGCACTAACCCTGAAGGAGTAGGTCTGAAAGTCTCCCTGGACTTACAGCTACTGCTGAATTAACAGTTGGACACACAGGCTTTACCCAGTTTCAATAGATGCACCAATTATGGCCCTACATTGAGCAGGAGGATACAGGTTGCAATAGTAACTCATCAATTCACCACTACCAAGTCTACTATAATGTGCTCTATATCAATGGTCTGTGAGAAAATTTTGTGGTCCGCAGAGAAATGTCACCCCCAAAGCACCCCCCCAAAGCAATTAATCCAGGCTGTGTGGGAACACAAGGCTGCGCCACCCACATGGCCCACAGGAACACAAGACTTGCGTCACTTGCATTGCGAACACCACAAGGTAGTGAGGGGAGGGGGAAAACGGCAGAGGGGGGGAACTTGTCCCGCTCACCCCATACACCTCACCTGGCCATCGGGCTGCTTCTTTCAGCTTCTTTCTTCTTCTGCTTTTGGCTGCACGCAAGGAAAGCAGCAAAAGTTTCTTTCTCTCCCCCAAACTCTGCCAGAAATGAGTCTTTGGGACCCTGCAAGGCATCCTGCTCCAAAAGGCTGGCAAAAACTCATTTCTGGTGGAGTTTGGGAAGAGAAAGAAAGACTTCTGCTACTTCTGCTGCTTTCCTTGCATGAAGCCAAAAGTCTCTCTCTCTCTCTCTCTCTCTCCCTCTGACAATGGAGCTGGAAACAATATCCTGCGATCCCAAATAAAGAACGATCAATCAGGAAAAAGTCTGCAGGAAAATCCCCCACCCTGTTTTCCTACTGATCAATCATTCTTTATTTGGGATTGCAGAATACCATCTCTCCCCCCCCCCCCCGGAAGGGAGCTGAAAAGCAGGTTAGGAATGTGGCTGCCTTGGAGGGGGTGGGGGGTTAAGGGACCTGTGTGTGTGAGAGGGGGGGAGAGAGATAGAGAGAGAGAACATCACCGCCAGCCCTCCGAGGTTAGATCGGATCTTTCTCTCCCACCAACGTCAGCAAGCCACCATCAGTCAAAATTCATATTAGTGATCTGCAGGATTTAAAATTATGAGTTTGGTGGTCCCTGAGGTCCAAAAGGTTGAAGACCAAGCAGAAGCTTCAGGTGATGTAAAATGTAGTGCCTTATGTTTTTATTATTTGGCATTCATCACCATGAGCATAATTATGCTTGGCTTTTAACTGCAATTCCTAATGTTGGTTTTGAGCTATAAAGTTTTGTATGACTGAGTGCCCAGGACTGCTTCTTTTAAGCAGAACAACCCATCTCCCAATAAAATCATCCTAGAAAAAATTGTTTGTGGTCCCTTCCTTTCATGAGGGATGTTTATTATTAATACTGGCTTTTTAAAATACAAACTGCAAGGAATTGACTGTAAATCCAGTAATACAAAAATGTAATACATAAATGTATTTCTTAGCTGTCACAGTAACACTGATCTTCTAAGTCTGCAATCTTAAGTACACATAATAGGAAAAAAGCTCCATTGGCCACAGTGGAGTTTACTTCTAAGCACTTATACACACTGAATATAATTCTTAATCTGATGATCATTCTATTTTTATCATTTTAATGTTATTAATACTTTAAAAAAAATCATGTAAATCATCATAAAGGGTTTTGTGGCGGAGGATGAAAACATGTATTATTTTGAACATTTTCTCTGAAATCTCCCTGGCTGCCAACATTCAACATTCTCAGCATTATGCCTTTCGTCTTTTAGGCACGGCTGTTCAAGCTCCTGTTATTGTAACCACAGTCCCAGATGTGGCGCCAAAAACTAGTGCACTCTATAAAAGTAACTGACAGCTCAGATGTGTAGCTTAGTGGAGGCCTGGAGAAGTTACACCAATGAGAAGCTGGCTTTTTCACAGAGCCACACATGTTTACAGTCTGCATTCTGCCGGTAGGAGGAACGGTCTAACTGAAAAGCCGTAATGGATTCATAGCAGGAATTAGGATTAATTTTTTTCAAATATCAAACAATCCAATTTTTCTCTTTAGAGAGCTGCAGTACAACACAGTGAAATAGTCTTGTCAATTGAAATGAAGTCTCATTTGAATGAAATCCTGAACCTGACTGAACCTGCCATGGAAATGCATAGGAAATTATGAAAGAGATTTTTTTAAAGACAAAAATGTCAATCTCATATTTATATAATATTTTGGAACATATTGCATCAATGCAGCCTATATGTCACAGAAATATGTATATTATTCTGACAACTATCAAGATATTACTTCTTGCCTGCCCATATACAAATTAAAGAACAGTCAAGGTTGCTCAGAACTTAGAAAATATTCCCACAGTATGCCTTTATCAAATTACAGCTAACAAACGCTGCACCATTATGTCCTGAACCTCGTACCTCCAGATGTGTTATAATCCAATTTCTATCATCAAGTCTATATGGCCATGTTGGCTAAACTAATGGTAGATGGAAGTCTGGCCAGTGACTAGGAAACTGATTTATATTTGAAGCTACTGTGTCTTTGGGGTGAGGCATATGGGCATTGCTTTCATGGAAATCTATGAAAGGCTGTGTGAAGGGTCATAAAATATGTGTCCAAAAATGCTGCACATGGTATCTCAACTAGTGGCTTGTTTATTGAAAGATAATTCAATTCTGACCTCACGTTTACCTATACCTTCCTTTTTAGAATGTTTTTGACTCTGCCAATATTAATAGTAGGAATGCTGTTCGTTTGGTGCATTTCCAAAATATGACAGATGAATGACATTATTATGGCTTTAAACATAAGGAAGAATCTATTCTTGTTGAGCTTGAAGAAAACAGTTCATTGATAAGCATCCAAACAAGTGTAAGAAGTTCTTTGATGAACTAGTATAGAATGTATTTGCATGCATGTATGAACGTATGATAGAAAACTGCCTTGTTTATGAACAGAAAAATCTCCCTTGCTTTAAGCAAAAATCTGTGGACTTTAGAAATAAAAGAAGACCACTGGTCCAAATTTGACTGGGTAACTTTGGGCCACTCACTCACTCTCAGCCCAACTAACCTCAATAGGGGTGTTATTGTGGGTAAAACAGGAGAATGAAGGAGTATTCGGTATATTTGCAGTCTTGAGATGCATGTGAGGGAAAAAAAGGTAGGATAAAAATCTAAAAAAAAATTCAGAAGAGAGAATTGTTTAATTCTTTTTCAATTTGTTTGAGAAAATGTTCCATCATTCAAGAGAAGGCCTATACTGGAATGAGATGTGGTACATTTAAAGGGTGAGGGCAGCAACTCAGCCTCATGAACTTCCAGGAAGCTACTGTGATGTGAGGCAAATGTGGCAAAACACATTTCATGTTTCATCTCTCTGAAGTGGCTTAAGGATAGTAAGCAACTATTAGAATCCTTATGTTTAATTACCATAAAAACAGAACATTGGGTCTAAAATCACAATTCAGGAGTAATTTGGGGGGTTGTTTTAAAGGACTGAGATTTTAAGGATGTCAATGTAACTTGCCTCCAGGAAATCCTCTATTATAGGCCCTCTTTTAAACTTTTAAAATGGTTTGGATTCTATCCTCAGTTCTGCAACTATGACCATGTCATAATAGGTACAGCAGTTTCTCCTATCTGTGAACTTTTAAAAATGGCTATAAGATTTTACTGGTATAAAATATAGTACCTGGTCATTGTCTATTTGACAAATATTTGGGATAAAAGTAGGAACGATGCACAGGCTTGTACACTCACTTCTTGTATCAGGATAAATTTGGCTTTGATATAAAAATACTTAACAAAGCAACACTTCAAAATGAATACATTGGCATGATGTATGTATGACTGTATAGTAATGGGAATTTGTTTTTTGACATTTCAGCTTGGGATTTAAAAACAAATGAAGGATTCTCCAGTCCATTAGCCATAAGGACACCAAAAGAGGCAAAAATTCCATTATCATAATGAAATAAATCTGAAAGGTAGAGTTTATTGTGTTGTTTGTTGTGTGGCTTCAATTGCTAAGCACTTTTCTTTGGGGAAGAACTTCAGAGTCATTATTATTCTATTGCTAATTTTTCATATTTGATGGTTGGACAGTAGGATAAATTATTATTTTATTCAACTGACTAATATAATCATTTTTATACACAGAGCAAGAGTGTCACCAGAGGCACACAGAATGAGTCAAAAGGTGAAGTATCAAATTAAAAAAACAAAACAACACTAGCCCTAAGCAATATAGGCAGTGGTTTTAGCCCGAATGGTTAAGGCATCAGATTAGAAACAGACTGTCCTGCCTCAGGTACAAAGCCAGTGTTTACCTTGGGCCAGTCATTGTCTCAATCCTAGAAAGCAGGCAATGGCAAATCACTTCTGAAATGCTGTCAAGAAAACTGCAGGGACTTCCACTGGAAGTTGCAAAAAGCCAAGACTGACTCGAAGGCACCACCATCCCCCCGCGCATCAAAACCAAAAAAGTGTGTTGGGAATAAGACTGCAAGGCATCGGAATACCGCTAACCAAAAAAAAATAAAAATCTAATAAATCGTTACTCGATCAGTGACATCCCGCCTGGTCTCCACCAATCTGTCCTAGAAACTCTCACTACCCTAATCTGAATGGTGCCCGCAGGCGGCTTTCTCCGCAATTACGGGAGACCTACCCTGTCCCATCCCAAACCTGCCTTTGTAATCCGCGCCTCCTATTCCACAGCACGAAGTATTGTTGTCACGAACTTGTTGCTGGGCGCTTCAGGGCACTTGGGAGGCGAGGAAGGCCGTAGCCGGCGCTCCCAGCCCAGCAGTCCCTCAGCCGACGCGTGTTAACTAGAGCGGCGGCGGGCAGGCGAAACTGCCGGCGATTAGCATTTCAGAGGCAGTCGACTCCAGTCCGGGTTTTGGGGCTGAGGACTAGCGAGCCGCAGGGAAAGGCTAGCAAAAGACCCCGCTCAGTCCGTCCACCCAGCTCTCGCCCGCCCTTTCGCCAACATCTGGGAAGCGCCGCTGACCTGCAGAGGGGAGCTATCCCAACAGGGTCCCTAAGTCCCCGCCGGGCCAAAGCGTCCGATGGCTGCAGCGGCGCGCCCGGCCTTCCTGTCCAGCCCAGCGCATCCGCTGTAAGCGGCGGCGGCGGCGGCTACACCACCTCTGCTGCCTTGCCGCGAGTGCCTCGGCTGTAGCGGCAACAGCTGCCGCCGCCGCTCCCGCCCCCTTGCTCAGCCTTGCCCACCGCCGAGCCGAGCCGAGCCCACTCGTCCTCGGTGCGGCGCGCTGAGCGGTGCTGGGCGCGGCCATGCAAGCGCGGCGTCTGGCCAAGCGCTCCAGTCTGGGGAACCGGCGCTTGAACACGGCGGGGCCGCCCTCGGCCGCGCAGCCTTTCCCGGAATCGGGCGGCCGCGGCATAGCGAAGACCGAAAACTCCTGGAGACCGCCTCGGCGCGAGGGCTCGGCGGCCGCCCTCGAGGAGGAGGACGAAGAGGAGGACGTGGTGGTGGACGTCGAGGAGGACGACGACGCCGAGGAGGCGGAGGAGCTGGCCGGGTCGGGCAAGGGCCACGCGGCTGCCCGGGTAAGCCTGAAGGTGCGTCGCCGTCGCGAGAAAAGCGTCCCCGCCGTCAGAGGCTCCTTCTGGCTCGGCTGTGGGAGGCGGGTGAGGGGCTCAGGGGCTGGGTGGGTCAGTGCGGCAGGTTATTATTTTTTTGGGAGGGGGGGAACCTTCGTGATTGATGACAGCGGGGTCCTTCCACGCGCAGCCACTTGGAAGTTGAGGCAGGGTTAAGTCAGCCCCAAGTTGCAAAATCAGGGTTAGAAAGGGGGTGAGGGAGTGCAAAGAGCAGGAGGTGTCTGAGCATACCTAGAGTGTCTTTGCTTCGCGGAAGATTAGTATCCCACCCCTCCTTTGTAACAGAAGGGCAGAGCTTCTTGATCCTGTCCTGGTGGTTGGGGGCAGTTGCATCTGCTTTTCATTCAACTAAAATGTCTAGGTCCGGGGAAGGGATTTCTGTGCGAGTCAGGTTGTATAACAATGGGCTTCGTATTCAGTATTTATCTTATTTTGAGAAGAAATGATGTTCAGAAAGGGTGTTCCCATTTTTTATTTTATATTTCTAAAATGCATGGTCAGTCGAATTTAAACAAGGAAAGAGAATGGAATGACAGGCTGGTTTAACAGCCCTGCAGGGTTGGCATTCGCCTGTTTTGTTCCCCAACTCAGACAGTTAACTCGTGTAGTGCAAATAAAGATGGCTGTTGTTTACAGTATTTTAAAAATGAACCCTTTAACAAAGTCTGTTGTGCCTGATCAGATAATTTACAGCTGGATGATTGCTATGATTAGACCAAAGAGAGTATCCAGAATCAACAATTTTAATGGAAATAAAAAGGCTGGCTGATGGAAGAGGGCAAGATTGGAGTGACCATTGGAGAGAATGATAAAAAATAGCCGGGATATGGGCACACACAGCTTTGAAATACATGCAGCTAAAGCGTATGTTACAGAAACAATAGTAAAGCTTTAAAAGGCCAAGGGAAATGCCAAAAAGGGAAGAAGGTAAAAATGACATCAGCCGGTAGAACTGCTGTAGTGCAAGAAAACCAACTGTATATAAACCCTGCAGTTCTAATACATGCTTAGGAGTAGTTCGTGTATTAAAGCACCCAAAAGGTAATAGTAAGTTCAATAAATCTGAGTCTCAAATAAATACAGGTTACATTTTGGGAAGATGCAAAGAAACCTAATATATTCTATGACATGAAAACAAAAGATATATTAGAAAAGCAAAAGCAATTAAAGCTTGGTTATTGTTCTGAAAGTTAGTGTGTGAGTATGTCCATCAGAGAAACAAATCTGCAATTTCTTCAGCAAACCTGTGATTTTCTACTGGATCTATTCTCAAAATTTCCATGCAGAATTTTAAAATCTTCAACATAGTTACATATTTTATAATTTGAAATTATTCCTTGTGTCACACTTGGCCAATAAAGAATTCTGTTCTATTCTGTTCTCATTTCCTATGTGCTTTGATTAACCTTGAGTTTTTATTCAGATAATGAACAATAACTAAGTATGCTTAGTTATATCAATAGTTTTCCAGAATGAGTTTTTATTCAGAAAGCATCTTACAGTGCTAGTTAACACTATTTAACATTTTGCTGTTTAGAAATATGCTCAAGGAAAAAAAGCTTTCAGTAGTAGCTGACCCTTCTGTATATATTTTTTAATTTACTTTTTTGTTTTCTTGCATTTTGTTGTGTAATTTCAAAACAAAATGTTCTTTACATGTTTTAGCTATTTGAATTTTATTGTAAGAGAAAAATTGGAATATATAATATATGTTGCTGGCATTTCACTTTACATCTTTTTCTCTTGTATTATTTAACCAACACTAAAAAAAATCAGATAAGGTAGATGATTAATGTATTAACACTGCTCATATCCTTAAGTTATCATAAATAAACACAACCTGCATTTGCCTTTCCTTAGATCTTTCTCAAAGAATTATATTGGTAGTGTATATGTCATATTTTTATGCAGGTTGCTATATACTTCCTGACACATAGTAGTTGCTCGTGGAGCCAAAACTTTTGCTGTTATCAAGAATAAACTTGACCAAAACAAGAAGTAGCAAAGTTTTGTGTAAAAAAACATTTCTATGCTAAACTATGTAGAAAAGGATCAAATATTCATGGTGCAAGAAAGGAAATTATTCAGCAAACTTATCATCCAGTGGAAATGCTGTTTTCTCCTAAACTGCTTACAGCAGAGTTTCCTCAATATATTTATATACAATTAAGACATTTTTAAAAAGTGGGTATTCTGAGTAAACAAGCAGGCTACTTAGAGAAATCTGAAGAAGGGATTTATTAGCAAAAATTATGTTGAAATCAATGTATGTGTGTGTGTACATTTGAGTCAGTTTTTTTTAAAACTTCTGGTGACTGAACTAGTTCAGATAGTATTTTCTGATCATTTGAATTAGAACTAGTAATTAAAAAAAATCTATTGAGAAGCAGGGGGGTGAATAGAAATATTTTATCTCCATGGTATTTTCCAGGGGCGTCCATGAAGAGATCAAAAAAGTTTGAATGGTAATCACAACTGAATGACTGAAACTCCACCCCCTTTGTTTATGAATTAATATGTATACACAAAAGTGATAGGGCTTCAGCTGCACAATTACAACACTATCTTGACTTTTTAACCCTTCATTACCTTAGCAGAAGTTCCTGCGGTTGTTTTTTTATGTACAAAAACATGTTCTGTAGCAAAATTGTTTATTCAATGTGATGGTTAAAGAAAAGGAAATGTACAATAAATAATATTGCTTCCTTAGTAGAAAAATATGAAGTTATGGAAATAAAAGCAAGTTCCTTTTATATCCTTTGCCACTACTATGGGTAGTAGTGGCAAAGGATATATGAGTTCCTTGCAATGGTATATTGTACTTAAATTATTTCTGTAAGTTTATTATTTTAAAAATAAATTGTTTATAGTAGTAACTTTTACCGCTATCTTACATTTAGGAACTAAATCTTAGTTACAAGTAACCTGAAAAGAAATGCAGGTAGTTCTCGACTTATTCAGCCCAAAACTTCAGTTGCTAAGCGAGATATTTGCTAAATGAATTTTGCCCCACTTTAATAACCTTTCATGCCATAGTTCAGTGGTGGGATTTTTACTACCGGTTCTGTGGGCATGGCTTGGTGGGCATGGCATAGCTTGGTGGGCATGGCAGGGGAAGGATACTATAAAATCTCTATTCCCACCCCACTCCTGGGGAAAGGTTACCACCGGTTCTCCGAACTACTCAAAATTTCCGCTACCGTTTCTCCAGAACTGGTCAGAACCTGCTGAATACCACCTCTGCCACAGTTGTTAAATGGATCACTACAGTCATTAAGCTAGTAACATGATTGTTAAGTGAATCTGGCTTCCCTATTGACTATGCTTGCAACAAAAGGTGAACACATGACCCCAGGACACTGCAACTGTCAACAGTATGAAAAACAGCCATAAGTCACTTTTTTCAGTGCCATTGTAACTTCAAACAGTCACTAAATGAACTGTTGTAAGTCTATATATTGTTTGGTTGATGGTGGAATACTATTCATTTTTCATAATACAAAAATGGGAGCAATTATGGACTAGACTGGGTATATCACTGAAGATCAGTGTTCTTAAATGTGTTTTGGGCAGTAAATTGCTTTGAAAGTCTTTCCTGATACACAACATTGCAGAGAGAAGACAGTTTTACTTACAAATAAGTCTCGCTTGAGTTGAGCTTAACCCTTGGTTGGTCTTGTGGTCATTTCTATATGGTTCCCCTCCTGAAATATGGAAGGAATATATTGGCACTGCTTTTGTTTCTTATTTTCCAATCTAGACAATAGTCTAAATATTTCCTATGATGTCCCTGCCAAGCACTAACCAGGTGTGGCTTTGCTTAGTTATTTTATGAAGCAACCAAAGTTAGTAGAGGGCTGTGGCTAGTTTTCAGGTACTTACTTGATGAAAGTACATACAGTCCTACTTATTTTGTATATATCTTGCACAAATACAATATAAAAAGCAGTTTGTGTTGAACATTTACAGTGATTCTCCTAATTCATTATTTTAGGTACTACTTTTAGACATCACCCTTTTCAGATGCCTTGACCATATTTAATTAATATGTTTAATAAAGAATTATTAACAATTAAAAATTAAATATAAATTAAGTTGAGTTGCTCCAAATGTAGCAATACATAAAAAGTCAGAATACCAGGTGGAAGAAATATAAAAGACAGGCAGGCAATAAATATGGTTTGACTACTCAAGACTTGGCAAAAAATAGTTGTCAGCTAAAATTATTAGTTCTTAGTATGGGATATGTAACAAAGCAAATAAGTAGGGGGTAAGCATCATAGAACACAGTAGAGCATACTTCTTTCATTACTATCATTACTATCATTTGGCACTGTAAGTGACCTGCAGAGTCAAAGACTTCATATTTGATGCTGTATTGGAAAGCAAGGAAAAGTAGAACAACTTAATTTTTTACCTAAAGATATTCCATCTAGAAAATGGGTGTTCAACTTTTTACTTTGCCTGGGCCGCCCTGAGTGAAAAGGAATTGTCTTGGACCGCATTTTTTTTCCTTTTTACAATCTTGTAATCCCTTTTCATTGGGGTGGAGTTGAATGGAGCTGAGCGTTTACTGGCCAGATGCCCTTCCTGGTGCCTACATGGAGTTTGCAGCAGAGAAACATCTGTCACTGCATAGGATTGAACTCTCAACCTTCTAAGTGGGAAGCGAGTGTCTTCAATACTAGGCCACTGCACTGCTGTCGGGCCACATATAATATATATAATATAATTAATGTATATAAATCACATAATAATATTAAAAGTTTATGTCTTGTGGAGCTGTTTTACTAACAGTCTAGAGTCACATGTGTTAGGAATATAGTAGTCAAACCTAACAGCTATTTGGGTTAGAAATATATAAACCAGGATAAACATTTTAAAACTGTATCTTTAAGAAAATGCAAAACTGTAATTAGGTGTGGTTTCTCAAACGGCCATAAGATGGAGCCAGAAAC